GTCTGAACACTTGCTGCAAGGTGTATTACATTTATAACATATGCATTCTACATATAATATACTTTACATATAATATATAGATGTATTAAAAGTTATAATTACACTACCACACCAAAGAAGGATTGCACAGTGCAATATAACCCTCTTTCCCCAGTTTCTTTGGTGTGGCAGTGTAAATATAACTTTAAAAAGTGGGAAAAGTAGGGATAAAAATTATGACCCCCCTCCCCCCCCTTTCCCCAGCTTCCATTAGTGTAGCAGGGTAGAGAATATATATTTTATACCATCCAATAGCCTGCCCACCATCCCACAGTCCCACTGTCCTAGAGCATATAGTCACATCAGATGGCATGTGGTACCTCCAGAACACATTGCTGTGCCGTCTCTCCTCCTGGCTCCTGCTGGCTGTGACGTTAGAGCCAAAGAGGAGAGCACTCCACCGCTGAGCCACATTACACTGTGGCATCCTGGCAGGGGACAAGAGAGAGGCAGAGGCAAAACAGTTACCTGCAGCCACAAGTGAAAAGCTGTGCTTGGCTGTGGAACTAAAGACAAAAAGTACCTCAGCCCTACTCCTGACCAGACCACCCCCCTTCGCCATGGGCAACATAGCCTCCACATGTGCCACTATGGCGGTAGTTCCACCACTGGTTGGAACACTTGTCAGGATCTATTGCAATTTGTGTTCCAATTTGGAAGATTCCCTTTTCTTTCTATCTGATGGGTGTCAGACAAAACTGTCCTCACATTGGAGTTTACGTTTGACTCCAATTCATGTATTGAACAATTTTAAGTTTGGGAAAAAGTCACATAAATCGTTGTCATTCTTTCCAGACTATCGGCCTTATTTTTTAATATGAAAATTGATTTTACATTTACTTTTGAATTTCAAAGTCTTTCATAGAGTAACTACATAGTGGGATATACAGTACATTGTATAAACACATTGTAATGCAATGCTGTGCTGTATCAATACCAAGAGATTGTTGTTAATGTCTTTATTCTTCCTATACAGAACATCCAGGTTATCCCAGGCAGGGTGCATTATTCTTTCTCTAAACATACCATCATTTAGTTTAAATTAGCTGCTTCTTTGGGGGTTTTCTTCATTTTTGTTATTCATTCTCTGTTCATGTGGGAAACATTGCTTCATTATGCAGCCCGGGTTCTTTTGTGATGTTCCTGCGGATCTTTAAATGATTTTTAATAGTACTTTATGTTTATCCAAAACTTTTCAGTTTGGTTTCTGGTTCTTCCTTTGTTTGGTTGCACACATTCATTTTGAAACTTTTCCATTAGGACAGAAATTTGATTTATATTTATTTATGCTGTCAGCCTACATAAAATATTATTAACATTAATCATCTTGCCAAACATAAATCTCCTGAGTCTGTGAATAGACAGGATAGACGGGACTGGAATATGTGTTGTAAAGGAGCATATTTAAAGAAAGACTGCCCCCCTCACCTTTATTCATGCTCTCAAGTTCTTCACAATGCAGCCCTGTTTGGAGCTGCACAGCTTTTGCCATCCAAAACATCACAGCCGAGTCCTCTATTTTGTGCACATCTGCCTCGCAGCCTCCTTTTTACTCCCCTCACTGTGCAGCCCAGCCAGGTGCTGCATGACCTTTGCATCCAAAACATCCCGGCAAGGTCCTTTTCCTAGAATACAAATGTATGTCACAGCCCAATTCATTCCCATAGATTGCCTGTACTCCTGGCGGCCTGAAGCCATTCAGCAGAGTACTAATTATCCAATGAATAAATGGGGTCATGCAGGAAAGTTGTCACATTTGCCTGAATATTCACCGAATATTTAGCTCAGTATTCACCTGAGACCTTTCCCACATTTATAAAGGCATATTTGCCCAAAGCTTGTGTATATTTGCCCATACATCGATGTAAACATTGAAATTCAGCAAGCTCTGTAACCTTTGTTCTTCAGTGAGGAAATGTGGTTGCTGTAACATTTATCCTACTCATAACACAGTGAATGTTACATTCTCTGCACACACATTCACTGGACATTTACAATTAAATTCTCCATTTTCATTTTACAGTATAGTATAGTATAGGGTAGTGTTTCTCAACCTTCTTTCAGCCATGACACCCTTTAAAAGTATGCAAAATCTCGAGGCACCCCAGTTTAAAATAGATTAATAGATTTTAAAGGGCAACCTCCTTTACATTGAAGTCCCCCCCTTAAATCAGCAATCCCTTTTCAGAGCCACTTTTACACCCCCTTCACCCTTCACATCAGAATCCTAACATCACACCAGGAGCCACAGGTGTGGCAGCATAGTAGAGGGGAGGACGGTGGGCTGGAAAATTATGAGGCACCCTGGTTGAGAAAGGCTGGTACAGAGTACTAAATACGGACTTGCAGCCAGTGATGTCACCTCCCAAGAGTTCCCTGCTGCAGTGTTAATTTTCTCGACTAATAATTTTCATCATAGTTTTCGTCAACACTTTTTCACTAAAATTAAATAAAAACTAAGGGGGTTATTCACAAAGCTGCCGAAGGCAGCCGAGTGAATAACCCAGCCAAAGTGAAGTGAGCCAAACTACATTCGGCTATACACTACGGTTCAGTACGGCTGAAGTCAGCTGTACATCGGCTGCACTTCGGTCAGCCGAACATGCCCTGCATGTTCGGCTAACCTGAAGTGCAGAAGGACTTTGACTCAGCCGATCCAACATCTGGATCAGCTAAGCCAAAGCTCCGGCAGCTCACTCGCTGCCGTTCGCCCCTATTTTCATAGGTGCCGAACGGCAGTGAGTGAATAACCGAATGCCGCCGAGCGGCTATTCTGCTCTGTAACTCTGTGGTACCGAAAAGAATAGAAAATCAATGAAAAAAGTTACAAAAATAACATTGAAAAAAAATATATTTAAAATGTAATTACATAGTTAAATAAAAAATAAATAAAGATTGATTGAAAAGGAAAAAAAAACAATTGGGTGGAGCTTGCAGTGACAGCTAGCTCCTCCCAACTGTTTCCTATTAGCTGGGACCTGCTAGAGTCTTCTAGCAGGTCCCAGCCAAAGAATAACACCTGGGCGGAGCCAGCTGTGATGTCATGGCCGGCCCCGCCCAGTTGTTATTGTTTAATGACAGTTTCAGCGTCCCCAGGTCATTTGGGGATGCTGATCTGTCATTACAACTGGGCAGAACCCTCCTCACTTTTCAACTAAAGATTGAAAGGGGAGGAAAAGGAAATTAAATGGGCTTTCTATCGTGGATCCTGACTAGGGACATATGAGCACAGATCCTAAAAGTTAAATCAGTGAAAATAAAGTTAATATAACAATGTACGTGAGTGTTTTTTTTTTCAAATGTTTCATACTCACACAGAGGTTGATCTAGTTAGGGATACAAAAGACTCCTAAAACCAGTTCACCAGGGACTCCTGAAACTAGTTTACCAGGAAGAAGTCTCTAATTTCCTTGCCCTTTATGGAGGGCAAGCAGGGCAGCCATCAGAAATGTTGGGGCCCCTTTCACAGCTTTAGGCCTGCGGCCCCCACCTCGGGTGCAGTGTAAAGGATGGCGGGTTCCAGACTGAAGGAAAGGGACCCGGTAATCAGCAATGTCAGCAGTTAACGGGGCCCTCTTCCTCCTGTCTCGTCCCCTCCCCCAAGTGGTGGAAAGCCAGCTAAAGAGGACTACAAATCCCAGCAATACATTTTAAGATAATGCAGAATGGCATCAGCTATAGAGGACTACAAATCCCAACAATACATTATAGGACAATGCAGAATGGCACCAGCTGCCAATGGCTGTCCTTTACCAACCCCCCAACTCCAGCGTCGGGCCCCTGTTAGGTGTCGGGGCTGGCGTCCTCTGCCAGCCCCCACCCCCCTATTCAGCCTTGGGCACTGGTTGCTACTGGTTTCTGCTGTCCACTGCAAATGCCCCCCCACCCTGGTGTCGGGCACTAGCTGCTGTTGCCGCCCCCGATATCTGCTTTACCACACTTACCTTACCACTCCAGCAGCTCTGCTCCACTCCAGCCTTGCTCTTCAGTGCAGCCTGCTAACAAACAAGCTCCACCTCCTGAAAAATAAAAATAAATCCTTTCTGCACATATACAGGTACCACCTGTCCAGGGGGGGGGGGGGGCTGGGACTTTACCAAGAGCTGTTCTGGACTTATTAGTCTACAGCAAAACCCTTACATGAGTGCGGGCTGTACCCCCTTGATAGTGGCCCTGGGGACAAGTAGGTAGTACATAATATCCTGGTGCCATGGGGATACCAGTCTGCATGCCTGGCAAGCCAGGCTGATACTGTCTGGGAGGTTTAAAAACATAGTTTCAGCACTATGGAGAACTCCATCCAGGCAATCTATTGTTAAATGTAAATGTGACATTCCTAACTGATCATCCACTGTCACAATGGCCAAGTGCACTTTTGCACTATTATAACATATTATAAATAGCATGAACATGACCAGAAAACATTTAGCAACGTTGGCCAATGCACTGACTGTAAATTTAAAAACCTTTAAGTAGAAGCCTGTGGACCTGAAGTAGTTAAAAGGGACTATATTTTCAGTGACTATACTAAAGGTTTAAGGTTTCCTCTGGCTATGAACTCTCTATATTCTACAGTAGACTCAGGGTATATAAGAAAAGTTTTTGCTGGTTTGTACTGTATGCCATCATGAATATGTGGGTGTATTCACTGCAAATTATCTGAAAACCTTACTGTTCACTGTGTTCCAGGTATAGCACTCAGTACTCTACCAATGTACCTTAATGAGATCTCACCAAAGAGAATCCGTGGGTCTCTTGGACAGGTTACTGCAATCTTGATCTGTGTAGGAGTGTTCACGGGTCAAGTGCTTGGTCTGCCAGAAATATTTGGACAGGTAAGGTAATGTGATGCAGGATTCATTGACTATGACTACAAGAATAGACTTTGCTTATTCTAAAATAGTTCAGTAATGATCATTGTTAAAAAAGATTTACAGAGCAATTTAATTTCTACAAAATTATTTTGAAGCCCAATGTGGCTTCAGTTGTGTTTGGTAACTGTGAACAGCATAGTGAAGTACAACTTTATAGACAAGTTTCTTTTTTTCCTTAAAAATGTGTACGCCTGCAAATGATGTGACCCCACATATGAGGTCCTGCACCCCTTATGTGCAATGGCACATGCTTCCCAACATTTAGGACCCAGTCACACCATATCCAGTGCATTCTGACGCATGCCGAGCCCTTAACGCAGTGGATCTGGGGTAGGAGGGGTCGTGGCTGTGCCATTCATGTCAATGGCATCACAGGCACGCCTCCCTCCTGCAGTGCGATTGGAAAAATTGTGCATGCAGCATTTTTTGCAATCACACTGCACCGGAACGGAGGGCATTTCTGTACCTCGCATTCCAGTGCAGGCGATGGCACTGCGGGCGGGGGGCGTGCCTGCCGTGCTATCGGTATGAATGGCACAGCCTCCTCCCGCCCCAGAGCGCATCCCGCCGTGATCTATGCGATCCAATGCATTCCGTGCTCAGACCGCGCCGCAATGCACTGGATATGGTGTGACTGGGCCCTTAAAGGGAATGTAGTGTTTAAAAGTTATTACATATAATTATATACATTTGATTTGCTTATTGTAAATATCTTAACAGAATGTTTTTGGTTTTTTAAGTATAGTTTGTAAATCTACAGTTTGTTTTTGCAGACATGTTACCTTGTGACACAACTACATAAATCTTTCCCTCTGTGTCACAGACTTTTTACTGCGGTTCATTGTAAAAAAACATTGTACAATGAACTGCAGTAAAGTCAGTGGCACGGAGGGACAGCTGTATGCACCGGCGGCTGTGCGTGTGCGGGGATCTTCTGAATGATACAGGTAATTGGCAGCTGCAGCTGCCTGTCATTAGCAATGACTGATAGCCAGGCGGAGGCGGAGCCGATACACGTCTCTGCAGGCACCCTCTCCTGTGACCCCTCCACTGGTCGCCAAGGACGCAGATGAAGAGGTGCTGCAGCCTGCATATGTTAGGTAAGGTTGGGGTAGTCTGTGGGTAATAACTGGCTTGGGGGGGAAAGGGGGAATTGGGGGACTAGCTGGGCTGGTGGTATTAAGCATTGCTGTATAATGATTATACAGCAATGCTGAATGCCAACAGCCAGGGGCGAACTGACCATCAGGGGACCAGTCACCCCGCCCCCGCTAAATGAACCTCCCGGCCGCAGGTGCAGTGGCTCCCTCCCTCCGCCGTCTCTCTGCCGCTAAAGATGTGGCTTTCTAATCGCGCAGCCGCTCGCTCCTCAAGGGCAGCCCTCTAACATGCCTGATTAAAGGGCCGCATCTGCCTGATCCAGCCAGCCCGGATCGCCTCGGTATGCGAGCGGCTGCACATTTAGAGAGCCGCATCTGTAGCGGTGCAGGTGGCAGAGAGATGGCGGAGTGGGCCAGTGGGCTTCATTTAGTGGGGGGGTTGGTGACGGGCCCTCCGGCATCTGCTGCGGGCAAACTGGCTGGTGCGGCCACAGGTGAGCCTCCACTAACAACCAGGCCCCGAGAGCCCCCACTGACCACCAGGGTAAGGTGACCAGTTTTTTTAAGGGCTCATTCACACTGGAATCGACTGGCACGTACAGCTCCGTGCTGCGTGCACGGCCGTATCGGGCAGCTCCCGGGAAGGACAGGTGCTGCGCGTGATTAGTACACAGCCCCTGTTCTTCTCTATAGGACTACATGTCCGTAAGCTGCCCTACGCTCACCCGTCCTGCACATCGGTGCGGGTGAGCGTACTCATATGCTCATACGGACGTGCAGGGTGGTTGAGCGTAGGGGGGCGTACTGGCCGTTTTCTGGCAGTGCCCCTCCCGAGAATAGACTCTGGATCCGCCCCTGCTACATATGTAGCTTCTGTTTCCTGCTAACTAGAGTAGCACACAGGCTTAATCTTAAATAAAGTCCAATTGAAGCCTCACATTTTTAATTGTCGCACACTTATTCTGCTCTCACTGAGAATGCAGCAATCCAGATCACCAGTAGTCTGACTCGCCCCCTGCAAAAAAGTAAAATCAGAAACACTACTTGGGGAGCATAAGTGTTCTTAATTGGAGTACTGTGCAAGGGGGGTCAGACCACTAGAGACCACTGTGCTCTGGGCGGGAGCTGTGGTCTGGCTCTCCAGCAGGCTGTCAACACAGGGTAGCTTAGAACACTTTATCACCCACACAAAGTAACTATATATATATATATAGCCATATTCTTTACTTGTTATGCAACCATTCATAAACATAAAAAAAAAAAGCTAGGCTTTATTTGTGCTTCCATGCTCCTCTGTTTCAATTGACGTCTGTCAGTCTACTCAGACTGAATGACAGCAAAAGACCTTCTATATGGAGTTAAGTTTGTTAACTTTCTTACTGCTATCTATGGCTAACTAAATATATGTAAAGGTGCCCATAAACCTTATGAATATCGGCCATATTTCATTTGCGATCGCGTTTTCGTCAGATATTCATAAGGTTAATGGGCAGTGTACAACCGCAAATACTGTACAATCGTACGACTTTTGACTTTCCAGCAGGTTAGAAAACATTTGTTGAATCGTACGGTTTTCGCAAGGTTGGCATTTCCGTACGTCAAAAATTTCCGTATGATTAACACTTCTCTAATGCGCAAACCCATGCGGTCGAAATTCGTCTAGGTGATTTCTGCTAAAGACCGCTAATTGAACTGTGTGATGGTCGGGGCAGGATGGGGCTGTACGATGGTTCGATCATTGGATGAAAATTTTCATCTGATGATTGCAAGCTGTATGAGCACCTTAAGAGTGCAAGCTTTGGGAAACACTCAGTTTTCCTCTTCAGGCATGAAACCATGCCTGTAGAAGAAAATTGTACTCATGGCGACCTTTAGCCATCCTGCAAACTTTCCCATTGAAATGAACGGGGCAGCAGCATGCATGCGTAGGGCTAAGAGAATATTGGGGAATATTTACTGCAGGAAACAGGTCAGCACAGTGAAGATCGCTTGAACAGGGCCAGAGGTAAGTATCAAAACAGAGGCCTGCACTCATGGGGTGGGGCAATGCCAAAAGGTACAGTTGTCATTAGGGTAGGGCCAAAGTTTTTAGGCATATCATGTTTAATTGCACTCCAAAATATATTAGGTTGGCCAACAAAAACGATTGCCTACATTTTGGCACTCCTACCTTCTATATGGCTGATAATGCACCTGGTGTCAATTTCACTAGTGCCCATAAAAAGACTAGTAATGGGAGCTTATGGTTATGTGTTAAATTCCCAACATATGTCTTCTTCCTGATCTTTTCTCTTGCTATCTTTTCTAACCTTTTCTCTCCATAGACTCTCTTTCTATACAAGTTAGTGACAAATGTAATGCTAAACAACTTACTGCAAATTATAAACTCAGGATGTGCAGCTTTATATTTTAGCTGCCGAATTTGCTTCCTTGATGCTGTAATGTCCTGTTTTTAAACCTTATATACATCTTATTTGGTTTTCCGTTTTAAGATTTAGAAGAAAAATACATTAACTAATCAAAAAATAAAAAGACAGATACTGTTAGTGCACAAGGTTGTTGTTAGTGATGGGAAGATGGATCTGAGTATGATCTGCAGATCCAGGAGGTGACAGTACTGTGAATGCCTGTGCCAATACAAGCAGGATGTAGTGGGAGTAATGTGTCTAAATATGTGAAAGGTTAAGTCAACCTATGTAATGATAATTTCTGTAGACTGGAATATGTCATGTTTTATGTCTCATTAAACTATGCCATAATTTGCTTCATGTCAGTGACTTGAGTAGGTGGTAACAGCGGAGACATGAAATTGAATAATTTATTAAAGCAGATGAAAAGCAGCTAAAGCTGATCCATCCAGCCATCCATGGGCTATATTCACTAATACTGTATATCTGTAGGAGGCCAACGTCTCCTGGAGCAATTGGTGTCCATTCTGTTTTATATAAGGATTCCTGTCATTCTCATACAGACCAAACAAAGATCCCCTCCTCAGCATCCAAGTACAGTGCGTGGAATTATAAGTGTGGCATACTTGAGGCTGTCATTGCTGCTTTGCACTGGCTCTGGGCTCTTACCCCTATCCTAGCTGCAGAATATACGTAGTTCCTACCCTGTAATAAGCATGCACACAGAGAAGTCTGAAAAGTCTGAACCACTGTACTTATTCTGGGTCACTGATTCACAAGGTAGTAAATCCAATTTGAGGAAGGCAATCTGGAACCCTCCACCTATAAGTCAGTAATCACTGCTCCTTAATATCTATCCCAACAGCCCTTTAAAGCACATCCATACAGAGATGCTGCCATTGCTGGTCTCCCTTTAAAAATGCCAGTTGCCTGGCTGTCCGATCTAATGACACCTAAAAAAGTAAACAAATTAGAAAAGTCAGAGAGGGGAATTTATCAAAACTGGAGCAGACAAAAACTGGAGCAGATGTGCACGGCAACCAATAAGCTTCTCTCTTTCATTTCCAAATTTTAACTGAACAAACTGAAGAGAGAAGCTGATTGGTTGTCATGCATATCTGTTCCATCTTTTGTCTGCTCCAGATTTGATAAATTCCCTCCAGAGTGAAGTCACCCTAATGTGCATACTTGTTCCAGGTCACTGACTCAGAAAGTCTTGCAGCCACTAGGATAGCACAACAGCCAGAGGAGTAGCAATTTCAAAGGAAAAGGCCAGCAATGGCCGCCTGCATATCTCCCTTAGTACAGGTTCTGTTTTACACAGTTTTCCGGTACTTCCATATTTTTGGGGCTTTCTTGATTTTCCTATATTTATATTTAAATGACATCAATGCAGCAGGTGTGTTGTCATGTATTGGCATTATTCCCATTCCTATCAAAAGTCCTATAACTT